AAAACAAAAACATCAAATGTCCACTTGCTCCCAAGAATACATTCAGTTATTTAAGACAGGATCTGGATGATTCAGTGATCAAAAAAATAGAGGCCATGCTACAAAAACATAAGTGAGGTAGATAAATTAAAGCTTTCATACTCAGAATGTGCTTTCTCCAGCTTTCCTTGTTCATTAATTAATTATAAATCATTGCTGTTGTGTTGTGAAGTGCCATCAATTCCAACTCATAGCAACCCTGTATAGGGTTTCTGAGGAGTGGTTGGAGGGAGGGAACAGGGGAGAAAGAAGAGACAAAAGATGGGGTTGGAGATATAACAAAGGGCAAGAAGAAAGCCTTGTAGACAGTTGTAATGCTTTCCTCAGGTAATGAAAATAATTATATAAAGTTGCAGAAAAGCTTCCTGGCAAAACTTTATTTCCGTGAATAATCTATTTGAGTAAATGTAGAGGGTAAATTGGGTGCCTGAGCTCTTCTTTGTCAGTGGTGTGAATTATACCAGTTAATCATCATGGCAACTTATACAGCAGACAGTATTATTATCTGTATTTAACTTGTGGAAGCAAGGCAAAGGAAAGTTAACTACTTGACCAAGTCACAAGGTTAGTGGATGTCACTGCAAGCATTAAAATTCAATTTGAAAGATGGGAGAAAAAGCTTTAAAGTATAATGAGTGGCTTTCCTTGGGCAGTGAGATGATGGGAAGTTTAAAACAACTTGATAAATGCCTCAAAATATTTCATTACACTTTGGATGCATTTGAGCATTCATGTATTCCTTTTTTTTTTTTAAGCAAAATGATAATATTTCCTTGCTACATGGAACACAAAACAGAACAAAAGATATAATTTTACTAAACTGGATGAAAGAGAAAATCCTTCTAGGTCTATTTGTCATAGATCTCTGCCAGTTATACTTCTTGATCACCAGGTATAGTTCAGGATGATGACTTTGGAGGAAACTGACCTGACAAAGAAATGTGAGCTTCCTTCTCCACATTGAAGAATGAATTCCTTATGAAACAGGACACACTTCCTTTTGAATCTTTATCCACCATAATAGATGTTTCCACATGATATAAGCCATCATCTTCTGTTATTTTTGTCTCCAAGGCTGTTGCCAAATTCTGTCCTTGCTGGTCACTCCATTGCACCTCAGGTTGTGGGTACCAACCTATTGATGTGCAGGTCAGCTTAATTTCTTTGGCTTTACCATGTTCAATGTAAATATGAGGTACTGTACCAGGGCCTATGAAAGTGAAAGAAAGGAAAAGAAAGCACACTTACTAAAGAGCTTTATGTCCATTTCACATGCAGTTGTGTTCATCAAATAACCTCTGTGAACCTCAAATCTCTTAATTTTGAAAGTGGGGGTGATGAAAAGACAAACAACTAAGCACGGTGGAATTTTTGGACTATAAACTATATCAGCTTTATCAACATTTAACAAAGCATCCAAATATCAAGCAGGTCTATAATTACTTTCTATTTGTTTTCTCACCTTTGACATGTTTCTCTTCATTTTATATGATGATTTTTAGACTTGGGTAGCAAAATGTTCTACCCAAGTGTAAATTTTAACTTCAGAATTCACTGAACTCCTAGGTCTGCAACAACTTTTATTATTCACTCTCTTGGATAATCAAAAAACCAGAGATGAGTTAAGGCTATTCTGGACTGAAGATATAGTGAACTCTTCTCAGAATGATAGAAAATCCAGATTTTGGGGTTGCCTGCAGAAACAGAATCTTCAGTGGGAACTGATTATAAGCCAAACTTTACTCTTTAGGAGGGTGAGGTGAATTAACGAAATGCGTTCCAGGAACTATACTGCCCAAATAATCTCAGACAAATCTTAGGTCTCATGGCAGAAGGTCAGGGATTCTGCCTGACTGGCACAGGTAAGGACTCATAATGTTGCACAGAACTAGTTCCTACACTACACTGGATATGAACAACCAGCTTATGCAGATCCACATCAGGAAGAACAATCCAACACCCTGAGAAGTCCAATGGGCTGTAGGCATCTGGATCAAATAAGAATCACTGAACCACTATAGGACTTTTTTTCTGGCTTAATGAGTGAAGATAGAAGATACCAAATTGAGGGCATGCCTACTATAATGAAGAAAGTATGGCAAAGAACAGCTAACTTGAAAAACATGCAAAGCACAAGTTCCTGAATATAGAGAACACAAAAGATCTTCCTTTGATACAAATTTCTGGATTCTTAGCAACATATTTGTGCTTGCTTACTTACTATTTCAATATTTGTATGTTTGTTGTGCCAGGGACCAGGTAATATTTACCATTATCTACATATTTTAAATGTGCATCTCATTTCATGAATTCTATCTAATAAGCTGCTCAAAGATAAAATTGAAATTTTGCATTTGAAAATATTGTACTTGGTTGAGTTAGAGAAGCCAAGGCATCTCTACTACTCAGAAAGGAACACAAGAAAGTAAACGAAACTTTTCTGAATACAGTGAGGACACTTGGGCTTAATAAGAGTGTGAGCATAATTCACACATTATTTTTGTATTATTTTGTTGCTAGTGTTAAGTACCATTGAGTCGGGATTGACTCATACTGATCCTATGCACAAAAAAACAAAACACTGCCCTATCCTAATCCAACTTTATGATCATTGCTAAACCTGAGCCCATTGCTTCTGCCACTGTGTTAATCCAGTCTCATTGGGGATCTTACTCTTTTTCTCCAACACTCCACTTTACCAAACATAATATACTTTTCAAGGGACTAATCCCTGTTGATAATATGTGCAAAGAATGAGAGATGAACTCTGGTCATGTTGGCTTCCATGGAACATTCTGGCTGTACTTCTTCCAACAAGATTGGTTAGTTCTTTTAACAGTTCATGGTATTTTTAATATTCTCTTCCAACACTATTTCTTAAACGCATCAATCCTTCTACATTCTTCCTTATTCACTGTCCAAATTTCACATGCATATGAAGTTACTGAAAACACTATGGCTTGCATCAGGTGCACCTTAGTTCTCAAACTGACATGTTTTCTTTTCAACACTTTAAAGAGATCTTGTGCAGCAGATTTTCCCAGTGTGTCATTTTATTTCCCGACTGCTACTTCCATGAATGTTGGTTGATCCAAGCAAAATGAAGTCTTTGACAGTTTCCACCCTTTTTCCATTTATATGGATGTTGTTTATTGATCCAATGGTTACGATTTTTGTTTTCTTTATATTGAGACACAACCAATACTGAAGGCTGTGGTCTTTGATCCTCATCAGTACATATTTTAAGTCCTCTTTGCAAACAGCAAGCAAGGTTATATAATCAGCATATCACAGGTTGTTAATAATTCTTCTGCATTTTTCTGCATATAATCCAGCTACTCAGATTATGTGCTCAGCATACATTTTGAATAAATGTGTTGAAAGAATGCAACCCTGATGCACAACTTTCCTAATTTTAAACCATTTGATGTTCCCTTGCTCTGTTTAAACAACTGCCTCTTGGTCTGTGTGCAGGTTCATCATGAGCACAAGGAAGTGTTCCGAAATACTCATTCTTTGCAATGCTGTCCATAGCTTGTCATGATCCACACAATTGAAAGCCTTTGCATAGTCAATAAGGTACAAGTGAACAACTGGTATTCTCTGCTTTCAATCAAGATCCATCTGACATCAGCAGTGATATCCCTTGTTCCATATCCTCTTCTGTATCCAGCTTGAACCTTTGGAATTTCTTTGTCAGTGTATAGTTACAGTCATTTTCGTATTAACTTTAGCAAGATCTTACTTACACATGATAGTAATAATATTGTCTGATAATTTCTGCATTCCATTGGGTCACTTCTCTTTGGAATATGCACAAATATGAATCTCTTCCAGTCAGTTGGTCAGATAGCTGTCTTCCAAATACTTGAAATAGAACAGTGAGTGCCTCCACTGCCACATCAATTTGTTGAAAGATTTCAATATGTATTCCGCCAATTCCAAGTGCCTTGTTCTTTGTCAATGCCTTTGCTGCACCTTATTCCTTCTTTATCAGTAGCTCTTGATTATATGCTACCTATTGGAATGGTGAAACATCAACCATTTATTTTTTGGTACAGTGACTCTGTGTATTCCTTCCATCTTTTTTGCTGCTTTCTGCATCATCAACTATTTTGCCCATAGAATCCTTCAATATTTCAAGTCAATGCTTGAATTTTCTCTTCATTTCCTTCAGCTTGATAAATGCTTAGTGTGTTCTTCCCTTTTGGTTTTCTAACTACAGGTCTTTGCACATATTGTTATAATATTTGTCTTCTTGAACTGCCCTTTGAAAATTTCTGTTCAGCTCTTTTTCCTCCTCATGTCTTAAATTTGTGTTAGGATATCTACACAAGTTTCAGAGTCTCTTTGACATCCATTTTGGTCTTTTCTTCTTTATTATCTTCTTAATGACCTCTTGCTTTCTTTCTGTCATATACTTCATGACAGAACTTTTTAATGATGAATATGATGTCATTCTTCAATTTGTCATTCCAACATAGCAAACCATGTGATTTTCAGATTCAAAATGGCCAATACCAATCCATTTCAGCTCACTGATGCCTAGCATATCAATGTTTATGTGTTCCATTTCACTTTTGACAGTTTCCAATTTTCCTTAATCTGTACTTCATACATTCCATGTTCCAATTATTAGTGGATGTGTACAGTTGTTTCTCTTCATTTTGAGTTGTGCCCATCATCAAATGACGGTCCCAAAGGCTTTACTCCATTCCATCATCACAGTCAACTCTACTTTGAGGATGCAGCTTTTCCCCAGTCATATTTTGAGTGCCTTCCAACTTGAGGGGCTTATCTTCCAGCACTATATCTGACAATATTCTGATGCTCTTCATCATGTTCCAATATTTACTATTCTGGTGCTGACTGTGTTCCACTGCTATTCATAAGGTTTTCAGTGACTAAATATTCAGAAGTTGTCCATCTTTCCTTTTTCCTAGTCTGTGTTCTTCTGAAAGCTCAGATGAAACCTACCCAACATGGGTAATACTGCTAGTATTTAAAGTACCCATGGTATAGCTTCCAGAATCACAGCAATAGGCAAGTCACCACAGTACGACAAACTGACAGAGAAGTGATGTTTTTTATTATATGCAGAGAAAATTAAGACATTAACTACACACTTTGTCTTACTTTTATTAATAAAAAGCATATACATGTGATTCTTCATAAATTATTGGGAATTGTTGCCAAGAGACTTGTTGACAAATTTTAAACAACTTTTTATACTAAAGTTTCTTCTGCTAATCAACCAGACATCTTGCTCTACATTTCCCCTAATAGGTTATCTGCACTTGTTTTGTGCTTGGGTGAAAATACAACAGCCCTTGTGTCTACAATTTAAAGTAGTAAAGGAAATGGTGTATCAGAAAACCTCACCTCCTAGGGTATTGTAGTTATTAAAAAATAGATTCTAGAAAGCATGTTAATTTATCACTATTGACATTCAAAACAAACTTAGCCACAAGCCTGATGCCTGGATGCCTTGTCAATAGCTGCAACATGAGAAATGTGTGCCCAGGGGAATC